CATTTTATGTATTTAAAAATAAAAATCCACTGCTGAAGATTACATATAACTAAACATACATGCTTAACATAAAAATACTGAGTTTGATCCTCTACCAAAAAGCATGCTCCCTCACTTTAAGCATCAAGTGCCTAGTAATATATACTCTTTGGGTACTTAGATCATTTTCCATAAAAAGTAAATCCCACCTGCAAGTAAAATATACAAACACATTTCAAAACAATCAAGACAAAGAAAATAACACTCTTAAATAAAAGGTTTTGCCTTGTTTAGGTATGCTCTTAAAAATGCACTAGATAAAAACTGTGGTGTCTGAAGCGTGATGCTCCATTTCCTTTTCATTTGGCCTAGCCATATGTTATAAGCTCAAGTCAGAGACCCATACTTTAACCTTTTCAAAATCTCTGACAAAATAAGGAAACACATGATTTTTGGGAAATCATGGAAAAGTAAATAGTTTGCAAATATCCAGCATGAAAATTGAAATATTTTTGAGTGCTACTGCATTTTTTCAGAATCTCAAAGTACTTTACAGAACAATAAAGCACTAGGCCTCATAAGTAGTTGAGGTGGGAGAGTAAGAAGTTTCAGTTATTGCTGATCTTGCTTTCAAAGTCTACTCAGTGAATACTTTCAAGATAATTAAAATAAAGCTAGAGAAATAAAGTAAGTAACGCAAGACAAACACGAGAGAAGGTTTTCTTCATTTACCATCAAGAGCAACACACAAAAGGTAAGAGAAGCTGTCAGCCCACAGGCAGAAAAGCCACGCTGAAAAAAAATCTAACTCAAACTCCACCTTCTTTACTTTCCACTTGTGAAAACAGCCTGCTAACAAAAAAACACATCCATCACCATTGCATCTACTTTCATCACACAGATGGCATCAAAAATCCCCTATAACAAAGCAGATCTTTGCTGTGAATTCTTAAACAACCAACCTTTTTTATATATATATTGTTCTACCTAGTTGCCAAACCTCCAGAAGAATTTAAGTTTCCCACATCAATAATATTAGAAGCTATGTACAATGATGGGCCCCATCCTTCAAAGTAGCTTGCCACACTAAACCACAAAATACCTCTTGTACCAACCGACTCACCGAGAATTGGAATAACGGTCCTTGTTAGGGCTGTAGAGTCATGTTTTAAATCAACTATACGGGCTGGGAGAGAAGGATGCACTTCAGTCTCATTTTATAGGTATCTGGTAACATACAAGACAAAATTCAAACTAGCCTTAACAGACTACTATCTTCCTCCCCTCCCAACCATTTTAAAATACTTCCAATTACTGCACTTTTATTACACCTATCCATCCGCAGGCCACTACTTTTTGTGTTGCAAATGACAAACTAAGAATGTTAAGAAAACCTGCCCAAGAAGAGCAAGCGCTTATTCTGTGGCTGCATAGAAAGCAGAGAAAAATCTCACTGACTTTCCTTCCTCTGTCTTCACAAACTTTCGAGTAACTTGTTCTGGATAATGAGCAGTCCAATTAGCACAGCTCACCTACTCCTTCCCAGCTATCCTCAATTTCTACACTAAAACTGAAGTTTTGAATATCAAGACAGCTGTTTTGGGTAAGGTTTTTTTCCAGGCATCCTAAGGCACAGCAACACAGGAAGTCTTCACTGTCGTAGTTCTGATCCGTGTTGCTACCTAAAGACACATGAAGAACTCTACCCAAACTTTAATCCCACACATTTTCACATGCATTATAGCTGTTGACAGGCTAACAAAAGCTAAGTAGCAAGTGTAGTGACAACAAGTGTTAAAAACTAATATGAGATAGCTTGAAAAGTCCAAACATGTTTCAGTGTATCAGTTAGGTTTACTCACAGACGTTACTCTTGAAGGAAAACCACAATTAAGCAGTAAAGACCGAAGAGCCCTGGAACAAAGACTGCACTTTAAAGAGGAGCACACCAACCTTAAACACATCTCTATTAACACAGTTGTTAGAGGCTATTAGAAAAAAAAGTTATCAGATGCTGCAATTTAACCACTGCACGCTGCATTAGAAGACAGCTTATTGAAACCTTCCTTCAATACCCTACTTGATAGCACAGAGCACATCAGTCTCCACAACTCTCCTCTTCTCCCTATGTATCCATGCACACATATATATGTAACATCTTAAACTCAGAAAAAAAGCCACAGAGACACAAAATGGTTATCTTCTTGTGCTTCTTGCAATGATGAAATAAGTGCTAGCTGCACACCAATCACTGCACACACCACACCATGATGCAGTCCATAAATCATTAACCAAACTGTCTGTAATCCCTTCTAATACACAAGAGTATGGGGGCAGGGGGGGAAACAGTTTTATGGAAAAAATGAAGAAAAATCCAAATTAAAATGATCTAACATCTGATACAATAACACTCAGATATTTACAATCTCCTAGGAAGAGAGAGTAATACTATTTGTTGAACAGAAATGTTTGGTGAGAAAACATTATTTAATAAAGACATCTCCATTTGTGGCCAAGTGGAGATTTGGTCGAAAAGGGGAAAATACTCATTTTAGCATAAAGTAAACATAAATATATGTTCAACTGGTGCATATGGTACTGGACTCAATGCATCCTACACAGTATTTACTTTAATCTTGCCTACTGGGTAAACCAGCAAATCATTATTTGTCAAGCCGCTTTACTATTTCCTTAATCTATTACTGACAACTCCCACATTTGGTTGAAGTTTGATTGTTTCTCCAGTTAAACTTCTTAGGGAAAATATATCAATCAGGTAAAATAAGCCGCAGGCAAGCAATACTTCTAAGATGCATTTTCCTTAACTTTTGTTATTCCCAAGAGAGAAAAAGCCACTTGTTGAATCTGATGTGGCCACTGAACTACAGATGATAAATATTCAACCACCAGAGAGCCTCTCCAGCGCAGTCTGACTGCCCTGGGCTCCCTGTTGGTCCTGGGTGTAGAGAGGCAACAGAAGGTTGTTCAGAAGAGCAAACCTGTCCTGCTTTAATCGCTGAAGATACCAAGACCAAGTGATTCTCAGGCTCAGATTAAAAAAAGTTCATGTCCTCTCTGCTTGCAAACCATGTCCCATTCCTCACTGCAGGCTGACTGTGCACGTGCTGCGTGGGGGAGGAGAAAAAAAGGAGCTGGAAGGGAGAAGGAAGAGGACCAAACAAGCAGGAAAACAAAAAGACGATCTCACTGCACTTCCATATCCCCTCAGACTATGAGCTCTGTCCTTCTGGCCAAATGGGACTAGTATTTACAAAACTAGACTGGTATGTCTGCAAGAAACAAACTGTGCCTATGTGGCTGAAAAGCCATGAGGCGTTAGCCTCATTCTGAAGGACTCTTTAGGGAATACTTTAGGGCATGAGCCAGCTCAGCACTATTTCTAGGTCTGCAAAAGAAAGTCAAAAGCTCCTCAGCAGCAAAGACATAGAAACCTACTTTAATCTTAGGCTGAACTTTAGCTGATTAACAGAAATTGTTTCAGAATTCACTCATCCAAGTTGATAACAATGGTTGTCAGCACTAAATAATCAATCTAGTTATTAGCAGTAACTGGACTAGATATTTTTTCAGCATGAAAAAGGAGTATCTCTCCCCATCTGAGACTGCTTGCAAGAAAATTCTCATCACTGAACAGCATGCATGCAGCAGGCAGTCAGGAATTCTGGCATAACTATCAATTTCTTTCTTAATGATATATTTAAAACCACATAGTAAACTGCCATGCTTAAAATTTACTAAAAGCAGGCTTTAAGTAACTTATTTTGGGGTATGCTTTGAAATGATCAGGACAGTGGAAAATCTGAGATGATTCTGCAAAGAATATCAGACAGAAGCTGTGCAGGGTTTATGATAGTTTTCCACTGATTTTCCACTCTCTCTCTCAAATTCTGTAACAGGTAAAAACAGACGTTTATAAGCTGTGCAGAACTATGATGCATTGGGGAGTAGCAACAAGTTCTGAAAGACCAGCAGCAGGAGGTCACAGGTAAGATTTGTCAAATACAGTCAATGAGAGCACGAAGACAAATCCTGTCATCTAGATATCTCAAAAGTGATAGCTGAGTAATGGTGGTGGGCATTTAAATCTCAGCATCAAGTCAAACTCAGCCCTCACATACTGAGTCAAAGGGTTTGAGCACTAGAAAATAAATGTAAAAAAAAAAAAAACAAAAACACATTTCTGCAGAAGTATTCCTAATCCTAATAACCTGATAATGAAAAGAACTGGTGATCATATTTTTAGTCTTTTTGCAGTGGGTCTGAAAAAACAGTCTCTTCTAGGAGCACTTGTATAACAGTTTATTTTTTTTTCTAAAGCTGCAGAGTCCATTCTACACATGCCTGAAGATTACTCACAAATAACACTTTAATGTGAGTGGAACGTGAAACAGAAGTGATTATTCTTATTTGGGTCATTTATTGCTTTGAAAGTTAACACATCAGCAACTGTAAACTACCAGAAGGAAAGCAGCAAGAGTCACTCAAAAAAAAAAAAAAAAAAAAAAGGAAACAAACAAACCCACACCACACTGAACAGACAAGAGAAAGATTGAGGAATTAAGAGGCACCAACAAAAACAGAACAGACATCAGATTTATAAAAATTCTAAGAAAAACATTTGAAAAAGTACTTAGGATCATTTCCAGGTCATCTATACGGCTAGAGGGGATGTTGGTCTGCTTTTTTATTTTGCGAATCTCTCCAGCCTTCCAGTTAAGAGCAAGACAGGTCATCATGGCTGATCAAGTAAATAATAGCTATTCGTTTAGGAAATCTAATACTTATTTCTATGGACATGCAAAGAAACCATGGCAAGGGAATAACAACTTCTCCCATTCTTCTCTTTCCAGGAATAATGACTTCTCCCATTCTTCCTGTTCCACAAAGAAATAAGTTTCAACATCCACACAGTAAAACTGCTACACTAAATCACATCTCATTTAAAATGACAGACCATTGCACACCGAATTCAAAGCTGTGTATGTTAGCGATACACAAACACAACACCACGCGGTACCTTGGCTTGATCTGCACTCAAGACTAGCGAAGCCTCAAAATACTGCAAGAATCACAACCTTAAGAAAGCCGTTCAATAAAAAGGAGCACTCCAATCCGCTATATAAGTCGTTACTTCAACATGAGCAGCCTTAACAAACTCTCATCCTTTTAAAAGTGAGCTTCTTCGCCAAACATACCTAGTTATTGCACGGAGCGGCAGATTCACATAACAGCATCTCATTCTTCCGGAAAAAACTTAGAAGTAATTTGTAGCCCAGAAAAGGGGGGGAGGGGGGGAAGGAGGGAACCAGAATTAGACGGAATCATTCTGCTTCAAAGTTATAAGCTTGAGAGTTTATAAAAAATTAGTTATACTTGGGGCTTGGTCTAATAATACGCGTTAGGGGAAAAAAATACGGCACGGGGTTCTCCAGCAAACACGGAATGGAAAGTCTCCCGCCGGCTCCGCAGC